AACCCCCCCCCCCCCCGATGTGAAACCGGCCTCAGGGCAAAGGCTGTATGTGGAGGAGCATGTGTGCATGTGCACGGGTGCATGAGCGTGTGCGCACACGTGTGTGTGTGTCTGTGCACGAGGGTGTGTGTGTGCATGGGGGGGACGTGCCCATGTGTACGGATCAGCACAACCCGGGCAAGATCCCATCCAGGTTCCCAGCCCGTCCCGTGGCCGGGGGCGCTGGGATGGGGGGCACAGCGACCTTGCGCTGGAGCAGCGGGAGCAGCAGCGAATCTAACTACCTCTTCGTGGAGAAGGGCTACAACAAGGAGCTGCGGCCCGTCATGTCCAAGGACGAGAGCGTCAGCGTGGACCTGGGCCTGACGCTCTCCAACCTCGTCTCGCTGGTGAGCTCGTCCCCAGGGAGCCACGGGGGCCTTCCCCGCGTTGGCTGGGAGGGGCCGATTGCTCCTGGACGGCTGCGCTGGGGGAGCACCCAGCCGTGTGCCCGAGGGCTGTGTGTCTGCACCCTCCTCCGCAGCCAGATGTGACTCCGCCAGCCAGTAGAATAGAAGGGTTTGTTGCTTCTCCGAGATACAGCCCAGCGCAGGCTCGATATTGACATAGGAGCCGGGCAGCCTTAGTCCTCTTGCAGAAAGGGGTTCACAGGCGGGTCCATTGTCCACCCTGAAACCTCAGCCCTCAGCTAAGGCCGTTTCCTTTGTGTTCCCCAGCCAGCAACTAAACCTTCCCCCAAACCTGGTGTTCGTCTCCCCCTCCCTCCCTTTGTCTCCCCCCGGGAAGCGCCTGGTTAAATGCCCAGGCTGGGACTACGTGTCTGGGCCAATGCACATGTGGGTGAGTCAGTGGGAATCGCATCACAGCGCAGCCAGGTGGGGGCACTGAGGTGCAAGCAGACAGGCCCCCCCCCAACTCACCTGGCTTCCCTGCCCTCCATGAGCTCAGCCTGGCCTCCCCTTAAAACCCGAGATTTGCCACGGCCCTTGGGTTCAGAGCTCAGTGCTCTTTGGGATTGCTCCGCACACCACGGGCCACGAACACGCCTTTCCCATGCTGTGTCTCATGTCTGCTTGGTGTCCTTCCAGAAAGAGGCCGACGAGACCCTCACCACCAACGTGTGGATTGATCACGTAAGTGGGCCCCCGGCGGGTTTTGAGCCCCCGGGGCCTGCCCCTGTGGGGAGGGATAAATCTGGATGGGCCCCCATTGCCACAAGCTGACCAGCTGGTGCTCAGAGGGGGCCACACGCTGATTCTTTGTGTTGCGCAAAGACCCGGTGGAGCGGTGCTCTGCCTCAGTTTCCCCGTTA